CCCCCCCCCCCCCCATGAAAAATCAAATGGTCCGTCCCTAAAACTGGTCATGAATTGGGGTAGGACTGTTGGAGATTGTCAATGTTTAATATTTAACAGTTTATGGCATACCTGAAGTTAATTAATGCGGAAGTGTCAATAAAAAAAGCATGCGGTTTGTACATTGCAAGAACTTTGGGCATGGTAGAAAACTGTTTTTCTTTGCATTTATTTCAGAATTATTTGTCAATAATCACTATATAATATCGCTCACATTGTGTTTGTGCTTAGTATTAGTTATTACAAAAATGTCAATTTCATTTTTGTTTACCTTTCTTCAACCATACCTATAATGCTACATGTCATTTATTGACCACAAAGGTTATGTTTTTTTTCATAATACCACTCCAGGCCGTTATATTAAATTGCATGAGTGTTCTTCAATATATAATATTGTTTATGCAAAATATACCCAGCTTAATATAACGTTTGACCCCGTTCACAGTTACTCGTACGAATCCCCGTGTGAACAAGGTGGAACCGGACGAATTTGAGTACGGTCTGAAATTCGTCCGGTCTCGTGTGAACGTAGCATAGCAATTTGTCTTGACGATTTTGCTTTTGATTCACAAAATCGCGAGAAAAATCAGACATGGATAGTTATAGTTAATTTAATATTACGTATTATGAGCTTCCGGCTATGGTCTGACAAGGGTATTTAATTTTTAAAGCAAAAATTCATAAATAACATACAAAACGCAAAGAGGTCTGGCACAGGCCTGGACGCCTGGCCATAGAGATTATAAATAACACTAGAGGGGGTATCTAGGGTGAAATTGGGGAACGCGCTAATGGGGGCAAATTTGGATCACAGATGCACGCCACGCAACAGGTCGGTTTCACTTGAAACCACAAAGTATTAAAACCTAAGTTACAAGGCTAGTTATTTTATGTGTTTTGTATATCATTCCTGCAATTGTTTACGAAATATTTTGAATATTCCGCTACATTTCGGCCGTCTGAAACGTTATATTGCTGACGTCAGCATTATTTTCGAACGCTCTCAAAACAGTGTTATACACAAAATTTTGTTTAAAATGTTTGGTTAAGGTTAAGAAGGGATTGCTTATCTAACTTAAACAAGAATCTAGAGATTTTGAATCAAACTCGGCTTTATTTTAGCATTTGAATTTTTTGCTCCCCATTAGACGCGTTCCCTTTTTTGCCTGAATAAACATTACGATGCCCTCTCTAGGGTTATTTATAATCTCTATGGCCAGGCGTCCAGGCCTGTGCCAGACCTCTTTGCGTTTTGTATGTTATTTATGAATTTTTGCTTTAAAAATTAAATACGCTTGTCAGACCATAGCCGGAAGCCCATTTAATCATAATACGTAATATTAAATTAACTATAACTATCCATGACTGATTTTTCTCACGATTTTGTGAATCAAAAGCAAAATCGTCAAGACAAATTGCTATGCTACGTTCACACGAGACCAGACGAATTTCAGACCGTACACAAATTCGTCTGGTTCCACCTTGTTCACACGGGGATTCGTACGAGTAACTGTGAACGGGGTCAAACGTTATATTAAGCTGGATATATTTTGCATAAACAATATTATATATCGAAGAACACTCATACAATTTAATAACGGCCTGGAGTGGTATTATGAAAAAAAAACATAACCTTTGTGCTCAATAATTAAATGACATGTAGCATTAGGTATGGTTGAAGAAAGGTAAACAAAAATGAAATTGACATTTTTGTAATAACTAATACTAAGAACAAACACAATGTGAGCGATATTATATAGTGATTATGTAAGAGTTAATTACCGAGAACGAGGTTTCTTAGCGAGATACAACCCGAGGGGCGTGTCCCGAAGAAAGCATCCCGAGGGCCGTAGGCCCGAGGGATGCTTTCTGAGGGCAACGCTCCCGAGGGATGTATCTCGCTAAGAAACCGACGTTCGAGGTAATTAACTGACTTAGTTCAAATTTGTAAGGATTGAAAAACAATTAGTTCAAATTTGTAAGGATTGAAAAACAATTAAATCTACTTTTTTGTCGAAAATACTTGCATTGAATTAAGAGAATAACGATTGTTACCATGGGGTCCATATGAAAATGAGATTGAAACGTGAACTACCTATGTAGCGGCGAAAAAAATGCTTCCAGGCAACCGGAATCAGATGAAAATGTAGGCTTATGGAAAGAGAATTTTTGCAAGCAAATGACGAACCATTGGGATTTGCAGTGCTCAAACTAGACAGAGATAAACAAAGAGTCTTGAAAAACGCGTATTGAGCGTATACCGAATATACTGTAGGCACAAGACACAACACCATCTGGGCAGTTCGACCGTATTTGGAAAGAGTGGGCCGAAGGTAGAAGCGCTATAACGAGCAATATTATGGGTTTGTCGAAGCAAAGATTCTAAATTTGTTTTCAATAGGGTTTTATTTGGGTAAGAATCTAAAAGCAAGTGGAGGGAATTTGATATCTTTATAGGGAAAAGGGGGGTTGATGAATATAATTCAATTGAATTGATGATTAAATATTCACGGGGTTTTATCTAAGTATATAAAACCTGATTTATGCGGGTTTTATATATATATAACCCGCAAAAATCCGGGTTTTATATAGATAAAACCCGGTGCATATTTAATCATCAATCCAATTCAATTCAATTCTATTTATCAACCCCGCTTTTCCCTGGGGAGATATCAAATCCCTCCCCTTGCTTTCAGATTCTTACCCAAATAAAACCCTATTGAGAACAATAGAAATCCACACAAATTTGAACTAATAATTCATATAAGCTTATTGGTAAATCATGTCGACCGTAATATGTCACGTGAAGAGGCTTTATTCCTGATAAAACTCATCTTCATTAGTATTCTTTATATAAAAGTCCATCCTAATTAGTATTCTTTATATAAAGAGTACTAATGAGACGGCATCTATTCAGAGGCATCTATTGTAGTCGTGTTTGAAGTAATATATGAACAACGAAAGCGAGTGTTTCACCGGGATATCCAAACACGAGAAAACAATGTATGAAAACGTTTTTGTACGTAAAACGTATGTTTTCATACATTGTTTTCGAGTGTTTGGATATCC